AGCTGAGTCTTGAATACTGAATTGAGAAACAAAATTAAGTTGATAATAATACTATGATTGAGCATAAGCGAYTGTGTAACTACTTCCAAAGTTAAAGAACAGTACATYTATTTTTTTCTACTATAAATTAGGCAGCAATGCTTTTGATGTTGCACAGTAACTGCACCAAAGGCTCATGTCCTTGTGAATGAGTAGCAGAGAGACATACTGAAGCCAAGAAAAATGATGGAGAGACTATAGAAGATATAGAGATACATAATTGTCTGTATCTAATTTGATGCTTCAAATGTGCTTTCCAGTTGTTTGTTTAATTAATTCTTTGAGGATTTTATAATATATTTGGCAGATAATTAGTCTAATCCCCTGAATTTATCAACTTGTATTACTCCACTGAATGTAGACACAACTTGAAATGGCAAAAGGTACTTGAGGCCGGCGCATTGCTTCCCGTCAATATAGGTCAACTCCATATCCATTACCATCTTGCCATGGAGAGGTTATGGAGAAGGAAATCAAACAGAAAAAGTCCAATGCCTTGGAGAAGAATGATTGGGAGGATGCAACTTGTTCAGTGTGCATGGAGTATCCTCACAATGTTGTCCTCCTCCTCTATTCCTCACATGACAAGGGATGTTGTCCCTACATGTGTGGTACCAGTTATCGCTATTCCAACTGCCTTGACCAGTTCAAGAAAGCTTACACCAAAGTGAAGTCACCCCTTCATGGGCAAACATGGCATGGCTCAGCGAACAATTCAACTGTTAGCTCAGGCTCTGGTTGGCCCAACGAGAAGTGTGAAGTAGTGGAACTCACATGCCCCCTCTGTCGGGGCCAGGTGAAGGGGTGGACAGTGGTCGAAGCTGCACGCGATTGTCTTAATAACAAGGAGAGAAGTTGTATGCAGGATGACTGCTCATTTATTGGAACATACAAAGAGCTCAAGAAACATGTCAGGGCAAAACACCCATCAGCACGACCTCGAGAATTGGACCCCATACTTGAACAAAAATGGATAAGGCTTGAACGTGGGAGAGAGCGTGATGATGTGATCAGCACTGTAAGGTCATCGATGCCAGGAGCAATGGTCCTGGGGGATTACGTGATAGAAGGCAACCACTATGGCTTTGATACAGATGATAGAAGGCAACCCTTGATTACCCCTCTATAATACAAAGATTCTATTTCAAAGCTCTAAATTAGCTAAATCACCATCCCTCTAGATCTGCTTAATTCGGTCTAGTTGGGCCAATCTAAAACCATTAATCGATCCAAAATGCCCAAAAATACCCTTATGCCCTAATATAAAAGCTCACCTAACTTTCTTATTAAAAGCCCACCTAACTTTCTTATTTAAACTAACCTATAAATCATTCTTCCTTCTCCCCTCGACACCAAATAGAGGTGGCAGAGCAATGAGGACCTCTTTTTTCACTCTGATTTATTCTCCATAATTTCTTCTCTTTCTCTCTCTCTCTCTCTCTCTCCTACAACATCCACCAAAACACACTATTTGTTATCTCTTTCCTCTTGACATACCGTGGTAGACGACGGTGAAGTTCCTTTCCCCAATTTCTCTTCTTTCATTCCTTTTTTCTTTTTCTTCCTATCTCCCTCTCTCTTACCCATTCCAATCATCTCTTTCTTTACTAGCGAGATAAAAGGAGGTTTCCGCCTCCTGTTCATCTTCTTGAAGAGAACAGGGGAGTTGCAACGATGGCAACGATGGCACCTCTCCCTCGTTTTCACCTATTTTTGGTGTACATCTTATCGACTTTGGATCACTTTTTCTTTTTTCCTCATCACCGTTATTCCCCGCTTCACCATTTTCTGGTTTCCATAACCATCCACCAATCCTCTATCGTTTTACCTCCATCTTCGACTGAGCAATGTCATTAACAACGATGATAGCCCAATTGCATTGTTTATGTACTGATTATTGAAGGGATTGGAGATCCATCATATGAATGGCCAAACCCTGCAGGAAGGTTGAGCGAAATTTCAAAAATTTCTTCATTCCCATCCGGGAATCGTATTCCCAATTTAGAAAACTGCATTTTCAAGGTTCGTTCTTGTAACCAAACCGGACCAAATCTGAAACCAAGAATAGGAAGTGATATACCTGATACAGAATCTACGCCAAAAGTTCCTCCCAACATAGGTGTTCACGCCCAAAGAGTGTTCCAAATCCTCCCTCCACTAAAGATGACATGGCTTAGGATGAGGTAGGATTTGATGTATCGCCCATGGCCCGAACCAATAGCACGCACGCACGTGGCAAGTGGCAACGCTTAGGGCAGACCCATTGAGGGCACGCATAAAGCAGAGGTCGGTGCACAACATGGGGCCAATAGCGCGGCCGCACACAGCAGCCTCGGATGGCCACACTACTTAGGGCCAAACCGTATCCTGACCATCCAAGCCCACCTACCTCTAGGCAACCTCAAGTATAAATAGGGGGCAACCCTCTCATGGTAAACACCTGGACTCTGGACTACTAAGGACTCTCTAGTTTCTTGTGTGACCTCATTTAAGCACTCCTTACTCAGGCCTCATCCACCTTCTTATTACCCCCATACTAACTTGACCATTGGAGTCTTCGCCTCGGGTTAGCACCTGGGGCCTCTAACGTTCTCTCTCTCTCTCTCTCTCTCTCTCTTCACAGGTTTGACCTATCAACCCTCGGCCACAACAGACCTCGGATTCTTCAACCAACCCTCGGCTCGTAAGCAAAATTACCTTGTTGCCCTCAACCCATCCGAGTTAGCAACAATTGGCACCGTCCGTGGGAACGTCACTAAGACTTCCCTCAATTAAATTCACACTCTAAACAACTTAAGAATTAACTCCTAAGCTTTAGCTGACATGGCAAGAAACACCAGGAACACTTGGAAGTTGCTCACGATGGACCATATCCAAGTGGTCATCAATCGGCTCGACAACCTCACACAGAGGCTAGACAAAGTGGGGCGTCCGGCAAGTCTTCCTTAGGGAAGCCACCCCGCTAGAAGCTTGGGACACTGTGGTGAACGTGTATCCCTAGGCCCGTTAGCCATCAGCCCAATCGGATCCAACAAGGTCGACCCCTTAAAGTTCAACAACAACCGACGTGCTAGCTAGTCGCCAAGGACCTCCTAACCCTCCACCCGATGAGAGGATGAATCATCATAGTTCATGATCATCATCGAGACCGAGGACATCACCGCCGCCAACAAGAAAGCCCTTGGGATGAAGGCGGGTGATTGGGCCACCACAGCCCCCTTCGAGGGCTGAGGGCTGATGTTGTGCCTCTCCTTCTTACGTTTCAAATCTCTAACACCTCCTAAATGACAGGCGGGCCAGAAGAAACAGACACGTGCCCGGGTCGAAGTACTCGGGGAACCAAGCTGACCCATTCCGCATGTGGGAGAACTAGGATGAAGCCTAGGCCCCATCGACCAGAAAATTGTCGAACTGTAGGCGCAGCTCAGTGCCATGAAAGACGAGCTCCACCAGGTTAAAGAGAGCCAAGCTAATGCCTCGGCAAGCCAGAACCCCTCATCCAGGAAGGTGGATGCCTTCACCCTTGACATTGCCTCTGAACCCCTCCCATCTTACTTCAAAGCGTCGTTGCTCGAAATGTACAATAGAATGTTTGACCCAGACGACCACCTAGAAAGTTTCAAGAAGATCATGCTCCTTTGTGGATACTTCGATGCCTTGATGTGCTGGACTTTTCAGGCGATCTTCAAGGGGTAGCTCGCCGATGATGTACCCCTCTGAACCCCTCCCTTGTTTTCACCTATTTTTGGTGTACATCTTATCGACTTTGGATCACTTTTTTTTTTCCTCATCACCGTTATTCCCCGCTTCACCATTTACTAGTTTCCATAACCATCCACCAATCCTCTATTGTTTTACCTTCATCTTCGACTGAGCAGTGTCATTAACTACGATGATAGCCCAATTGCATTGTTTATGTACTGATTATTGAAGGGATTGGAGATCCATCATATGAATGGCCGAACCCTGCAGAAAGGTTGAACGAAATTTCAAAAATTTCTTCATTCCCATCGGGAATCGTATTCCCAATTTAGAAAAATGCATTTTCAAGGTTCGCTCTTGTAACCAAATCGGACCAAATCTGAAACCAAGAATCGGGAGTGATATACCTGATACGGAATCTACGCCAAAAGCTCCTCCCAACATAGGTGTTCACATCCAAAGAGTGTACCAAATCCTCCCTCCACTAAAGATGACACAGCTTAGGATGAGACAGGATTAGCAAGTAGTTCTTCACCAAGAACTTGTGATTCTTCAGCAAGAATCGAATGGGGTAGTGAGCACAGCTTCAAAATTGTTTATTTTAGGAAGAAATAATATCAAGATCAAATCTTGATTAGATCCAAGAATTGGAGATTGAACAGGGTAGGGCGACAAGAGCAGGGAGAAAAAGAACTGAAGGCAAAAATCAGTCAAACTGAGTTGTCTTCTGTAATGTCTGTGTGTGTTTTTCAGATCCGCCTTGCTCTCAATTTATAGCCTTAAAGAAACAACCTCCTAATCTGATTAGGAGTCCCTTGATTGAACTCTTTAAGTGATAAGGATAATCCCTTATTTTATTTACAGTTCAAGATCAACTTATTCCTAATCAAATTAGGAGTTCCCTGATCCAAATCTTTATTTGGATATGGACTCTTTAAGTGGATAAGAGTTACCCTCTTATCCTTATTTGCTGATCCAAACCTAAATCCGCCCCTATTTAACTAACCTAGTTAACCCAGTTTGAAATGGGCTTTGGGCCCATTAAGCTTTTAGGCACACTTCCTTTTAATATTGGCTAGCTTGGCTTTTTTTGTAAGGTGTGGGACCCTAACATTGGTCTATACATCAGCCGCATGAGTTCAACATAGCCACTGTTACAAGGCCTGGCTGAATTCACTACTGAATACAGTAAACCCCTAAGTCCATCACTATGGGCTCTTAATGGGCCCAACATTTACACTAAATGGTCCTTCGCTCCAGCCATCTTATGAAGGCCCAAGGACTATGGGCAGATGCAAGATTAGCCCATCAGGTATAACCCTCAATGGTCTTATACTTAACCTCTCAACCCATAATGTTCAAACACTACCCGACAAGAGAGGACCTCTCCCTCGGCTACAAGGTATAGTACTACACTCTCTACTCACATGGATCTTGGGAATTAAAACCTTTTGTAAACAATTTGTGAGACCATAATATATAAGTATATCTTTATATAAATATATTTTGCAAAACCAAATTTCAAACACATTTGAAATCCACTGCCGACAGTTTAGGTTTTATCAGAGAGAGTGCATTTTCCCAATCATTCACTTTGTTCGACAAAGGGGCAGATCATGTCACTATGATCACCCACTCAGATGATTTCTCATACTGTCCCAACATACTCAGGTTTTGACCCCGTCTAAGAATCTCACTGATTGGCACATCAAAGACAGCCCAATCTGACACCTAGTGCATTATCATAATCGAGTGTAGGGGTCAGGTGTTGTTAGACAGTTTTGTATGCCCTTAGCTCCAATAAGTTTTGATGTACTTTTGATATTTAATGTAAATAAATAAAGTACATGTTTAATTCATGTTATGTGGTAGGCTTCTGTGTAAGACCCTAAAACTTGACACTTAATGTGACTTGTGTTAGTTTTAAATGTTCACAGTCGTTGGATAAGTCGGGGGAGATTTATCCTACCAAGGCTGACACTGGTGTGCTGCCAACTGTTGGGGTGGCTTGTCTCAGCCGCCAGGGTGAGACCCAAGGCACACGCAGTGTAGGATTACTTGAACCCTTGAACCGGACCAGATTTCGTGTATTGCTCTAGACCTTGGAGATTGATGGGAAAAATTGGAAAGTTGCACCTGACCCCTAGACCCGATTATGGTACTACACTAGGTGTCGGATTGGGCTGTCTTTGATGTGCCAATCAGTAAGATCCTTAGCGGGGTCAAAACCTGGGTATGTTGGGACAGTCTGAGAATTCATCGGAGTAGGTGATCATAGTGATGGGATCAGCCCCTTTGTCGGAACAAAGGTAATGATCGGGGATGCACTCTCTCTGATGGAACAGTGCTGCACTCTCTACTCACATGGATCCCGGGAATTAAAACCATTTGCAAACATTTTGTAACCGTATATAAGTATATATCATA